TATCAATAAAGCTTTGCTTTTTTTATTTTCTTACTAAAATATCGCAGTTTTCGTATTTCTGAAAATTACCGTTATATGGGAGGTAGGCGTGGTTATTGTCCGATTTCGCCCATTTTCAATACCATCCGTCCTACGCCCAAAAGAAGTGCATGTACGAAGTTTCGTTAAGATATCTCAATTTTTACTCGAGTTATCGTGTGCACAGACGGACGGACGGACAGACCCTCACCGCTTAATTGTCTATATCTATCTCGATTCGTTTTGCCTGTTACAAACAACCGTTATGTGAACAAAGTTATAATACCCTTGTGCACAAGTGCGCTCGGGTATAAAAAGGGCAAAAAATAAGTAAATTGAATATTACCCTTTACTTAGGGCCGGTTGTTCTGTATCTGATTATAACAAATCGGAGGTAGAAGCTCCGGTTAAATGCAACGACTACTTTATCGATGTTATATGTTTAACCGGGAAGTAGTGATAACCAGACATTGAACAACCGCCCCTTAATAAATCAGCTACCTTCAATTATTGCAATTCTCTCTACTGCATTCGGAGATTTTACACTTCTCACTCTTTCGCGGCATCAGTAGCGGATACGGGGGGCACCCCTCAAACGAGAAATTTTAAAACGAATTTTTTAAAAAAAACTTTTATTTATATTTTTATGTGTAAATTCTTCGCCAACAAACAACGGGTGTGTAGATTTTATGAATGTATAGTCCTTATCATAACTTTATTCGGCAGTTTTGCTTCTTAACATAGCCACCGAGATGAATATGCGCTCCGTCATTTCAATTTTATCGGATATTATATGCCAGAAAAACTATTTGTGTGCTTTTATCAATCCAACGCAATTTTTTTAATGGAACAAATGTACTTAGAAGAAAATAAACATTTATTTACGAACAAATGTTTATCTACGTATGTCGCATCCTAAATTCTTGACCGATCACAACCAACTTTTGCTCACTTCTTGCAGATTTCCCAATGATGGGAATTGAGAGCCCCACCCATACAAATTGAAAATTTCATAATACATATATTTAAAAAAGTTCCGTGGTCGATCCGCGCAAGTGAAATTTTCATACAGATTATCTCTGGATCTGCATCTGGATATCGCTCCGATACTATCAAAAGTTCTCATGGTGCATTCTTAAAATCACTTCTAGTATGTATGTATGTATATATATCGGTTAATTATTTACCAATAGGAATAAGTCAGCATTTTTCCAATATGACATACTTTATGCTGTTCCACGGAGTTCCTTTTAACGAACCAAACAGCATCAAAATTGTCTTATCGAAAAAATTATGACTTATTCCCTTTGACAATTAACCGGTTCATGTATAACATTAATCAGCCTTATCATGAGTTTAATTTTCCCCCAACCGCTTCACTTTTCAATTTTGGTTTCTATGGTTTTACTATGGGCGGATGACAATATTTCGGGTGAATTTTTTTCAGTCGAAACTCAGGATAAGACAGAATATAAATGAAAACGAATGTATACAATAAATTGTAAAATATAGCTTGGTTCTATATACATTCTCTTAAAAATACGATTTTTTTTTAAGTAACGGCTCTTTTGTGTTTTATTTTTTTTTGTTAATTAATTTCTCAGAAACTGTCAGCCATATCGACATGTGGTGTATATCTAAACGGCTATGGAGAATTTCATTGGCTTCATTTATTCTATTACGATTGTGAACCACTCTTTTTTTTAGCTGAATAACGATAAATTGCAAATATTTCGAAAACGTATTCATAGAAAAAAAAGCGTAACTGGTTTTTCGGAATTGCCGAGCAATTCTACATGGGAAAGCAAATCTCGAGAAAAACAGCTTTCATGTTTTTAATTTACATATACTCCCATAGTAAAAATTAATACATATTTTGTTCTAGTGAGATACTGGTAATCGATACAGCTAGAAAATTTTTACGCAACATACAAGAAGCAGTAGCGGTAATTTCTGCATACTCAACTCAAAATTTGTATTTTGTTGTATTATGACGCTTTTAAAGTAAATGAGCGATACGTGTATTTCCATCTGTGTTTTGGTATACCTACTGTATGAATTTATCACACTTTGATTGCGTTTTCCCACAACATTGAAATTTTGAATCATGAGAAATAGGGCGAAATCACCCCGCTCACCATGTAACGGTAGTTTTCGGAAAGGTGAAAAAACTATATTTAATACGTAGATTTTACTATGTATTTTGAAAAGAAAAAATACTTTTTTATTTCATTTAATTATTAAAAAATCCATTTAATTCATTTAATTATTAAAAAAGCAAATTATGTTATTTCTGATTTTTTTTAATTCAATGTTTTTTTTTTAATTTCATCTTTAGTTGTAGTGTTTTAAAAAGAGACATATATTTTTATTTAATTTAATAACGCTAAGGCCTCATTTTTAACAGATATTTCATTTAGCCTTTCGAAAGAAAGAGCTTTTAAGTTAATTGCCAGAATTAACAATTGTCCTACAGCAGACTTTTGTCTTTCGAAGGACTGCGGTGATTGGACTACAAAACTCTGCAAGCTCTGATTTTTG